AAGTTGCTCCTGAACATTGAAGCAAATGAATAGCCAGTTTCTTTAAGCCAAATTTTGCTGTACAGTGGAGAAGAGTCGGAAGTTCTTTGAAATGAGCATCTGTAAGCATAAGAAGTAGTAGAATTTAACATGTTTTTGTTATAGCTGCAATCCCATATAAAGTCAAACACAATCTACTCCTAAAAGTAAGTGTCAGAAAGCAGAGCAGACTTTTAGTGTAAACAAGTGCATACAAGAAGCCTGTGGTTTTTTAGCAATGTAGAGTCTTTCTTTTCTATTTCTCATCTTAAAATAACTGTAAATTATTATTCTTACTAGCATTAATGTCCTGCTCTTACTCACGGCTAAATTTAATTTAGAAAGCCACATTAGCTTTTTAATTGTAAAACAAAACATAGCTAAAACATTATGTTGTAATAACTCCTTTGAATGTACTTTTACATCAGCCAAACACTAAATAACAAAATTCTATAAGATCATCTATAAAACCATTTTGTATTTTCTACTGCCATGTCTAGTTTGTTTCCTTCTGAAGTTGAAATGAACATGAAATTCCTTGAGGGATTATATTAGATTTTTATATAAAGTAAGTGTCAGAAAGCAGAGCAGACTTTTAGTGTAAACAAGTGCATACAAGAAGCCTGTTGGTTTTTAGCAATGTAGAGTCTTTCCTTTCTATTTCTCATCTTAAAATAACTGTAAATTATTATTCTTACTAGCATTAATGTCCTTCTCTTACTCAATCTTACTAGCATTAATGTCCTTCTCTTACTCAAGGCTAAATTTAATTTAGAAAGCCACATTAGCTTTTTAATTGTAAAACAAAACATAGCTAAAACATTATGTTGTAATAACTCCTTTGAATGTACTTTTACATCAGCCAAACACTAAATAACAAAATTCTATAAGATCATCTATAAAACCATTTTGTATTTTCTACTGCCATGCCTAGTTTGTTTCCTTCTGAAGTTGAAATGAACATGAAATTCCTTGAGGGATTATATTAGATTTTTATATATTTTTTTTCAAAAACTAACTGCAACACACAATACAGGTAAGCACTTTTATAAGCAATTTCAGTACAGACATTTTCATCAGGATTTTACAACTTTCACATCAATGTTTTAGAGTTTGATTTTTAAAAATTAATTAATTTTAATTGACTCATGATAATTGTACATATTGACAGTGTACAGTGTGATGTAGACAGTGTGTAATAATCAAATTAGGGTATAGATTTTGAATTTCATAATTATTAACTATCAATTAGAAGATGTATTAATTATGCATAACTATAAATGAGTGTAAACTGCTGTCCAGTGACAAACAAAAGAAAGCACAATCTGATGAGTGATGGTTTGTCATATAAATTACATACCAGCTTAACAGCTGTGGCATTATTAGAGGCAAGAATGTGAAGACTTATAGCAATGGAAACAAAGGCGTCAAACAAAAGTCAATTCTCTTCCAGCAAACTTCTAAAGCAATGGAAAACAGCTATCTCATAACATTTTTGAAACTCAAAATAACTTAGTTATTTTCTTAAACTCAGCAGTATTTACTTTAGAAACAATTTATAATCTTACTCATTAGATTAAAATAATAGATTTCTTAAGAAGATGCAAGAACCTTTCGAATGTGCTTAATTTGCAATGTATATCTGCTTGATTTCATGGCAATTTTCATTTAATTAATCCAGATTCATTGCATCTGCTTTTGTTATCAAGCTGTAAATAGAAAGTGAAATAAGTCAGGCACAGAAAGATAAATACCGCATGTTCTCACTCATATGTGGGAGCTAAAAAATAATAACGTGTTGATCTTTTAGAAGTAGAGAAAACAGAAGCTGTGAAGGGGAGGGGGGATAGGGAGGGGTTGGTTAATGGATGCAGAATTACAGCTAGACAGGAAAATTAAGTCCCAGTGGTGTACAGTAGTGCTAGGCATCTATAATTAACAAAAATTTACAGTATGTTCTCAAATGGCTGGAAGACAGGAGCTTAAATGTTCTCATCACAAAGAAACAATATATTTTGCAATTATGAATTTGCTAACTGCTGTGATTCGATACTACACATTATATATATATTTAAATATATGTACTCTACCCCATAAATATGTACAATCCATACATTTCAATTAAAAAATAAATTAAAAAAAAATATGTTCTCATCACAAAGAAACAATATATTTTGCAATTATGAATTTGCTAACTGCTGTGATTCAATACTACACATTATATATATATTTAAATATATGTACTCTACCCCATAAATATGTACAATCAATACATTTCAATTAAAAAATAAATTTAAAAAAAATTAAAGATGTAAATAGAGAAGCCATAATTCACAATAAGGTGTGGCAAACTTACTTTTGATTTTTTTCTGTACAAAATAAATTTTCAGTTTTCAGTTTTTCAACCAATGTCTATCAAATGGTAATTTCAGGAGAACAATAAAACGTCTGGGGTGAATTTTTCAAGGAAAGTCCAATGTCACTCATCTTACAAATAAAAAACAGATGAGTTGGCACATAGCCACGAAATTGAGTTGCATACTTGTCTGTCAGAACTGTTTCTAAACTGTTCAAGATAATCCCTATAAAAGATGGCCAATAATTAGACTGAAGTAATCAAACCAAAGCTTTCAAAAGATTAACCTAGCCCACCAGAATGATAAAATGGGAATATAACCAGATTGAGAATATAAGTATTAAATAAAAATTTAATAGTAAGATGAGTAGGGGAACTGTAAGTGCATGACCATGTAATCCATTTGTTCTCATAAATCATTATCTGTAATAGTAATTATTTATTATTTAGAGTAGGATAACCAGGTGGCCACTTTAAGACAAAACAATGAAGCACACGATAAAGAGAAGATTAAAAGTCAGGAGATCTGCATTCTAATCCCAGTTCATGCACTAAATCTGTGGTCCTTAAGAAAGTTCCTTCATCTCCCTGGATCTGTTTCTTCATTTATAAAATTAGAGGGTTTGCATCAGAACTGTAGAACTTTGGATACTCTTCTGGGCTAGATGACATGCCATAGATAATGTAAGCCAACAGACTCTCTGGAAGGTAATTTTTCCAGGGTGTTAATCAGACATTAATTAAAAGAGTAAGAAAGGTATTTGCGAAGGTTGAAGAAAAGTAATAATTTTCATGTCTTTTATAGTAGGTTTGGAATCTGGTAAAATGTTAGTATTTTTGCAGACCTGTAAAATACTGCTGGGTTTATGAAACTTTTTGCTCTGTGATGGGAGAACCAATATGTAACATGTGAGGTTACACATCCTGCCAAACAATAGTCATATAATTCAATTCAGAATTTCAAGCAACAACAAAAAAATACTTCCAAGGTTATCATACTTCTAAAACCTTGATAATGTAAACAGAATGCCCAAGGGAGCTAATGGTCCATCAAAGCCCTATGCTGCAGTTTTATTATTTCTCTTATTGCATAAATTATGAGAGTGGACAGTGCTTAAGTAGATGTACACTTTACTTTGAACCTCAATTTTGTATTCACCTCATTAACTGTTGCAATTTAATTCTTTTTATTAAAATATTCTCTTAAATACTTAAGAGAAAAAATTAAAAGTTGTACCCACTTCTTATCTCCTTTGTTAATGTCTCAAGGAACATCATACAAGATATTCTTTCTTTCAAATGTTTTAGTTGAAAAGGTTAAATTTCTTTCTTTTATTTTATGGATCATATATATTTGTGGGGTGCAGAACTGAATATCAATACATAAGTACAATATGTTGTGATCAAATCAGGACAATTAATATACTCAGGTTTACAAAACAAAATCAATAACTGACCCTTAACTAGTCTCTTGCCAATCCCACTCCCTTCCACATTTCCCACTTCTAATAATCACCATTCTGTTCTCTCTCTTTTTTTGAAAGTTTAACATATTATTGTTATTGTTGCTTTCTTTCTTTTCTTTCTATATTTTAGCTCTCACTAATGAGTGAGGACATGTATTTCTCTTTCATCCTTGTATGCTGACAAGGATTCAGAGAAAGGGGAAACTCCCTACACTGTTGGTAGGATTGTAAATCAGTGCAGCCATTACGGGAAACAGTATGGAGGTTCCTCAAACAACTACATATAGAATGATCCAGCAATCCCATTGCTGGGTATATACCCAAAGGAATAGAAATCATCAAGTCCAGGAATACCTGCACTCCCTTGTTTATTGCAGCTCTATTTACAATAGCCAAGAGTTGGAACCAACCTAAATGGACATCTCCATGAGTCTGGAGAAAATTATGTTAAGTGAGAAAAGCCAGGTATTTCTGTTTCTTTGTCCAGATTCATCCATGTTGCTGTGAATGGCAGAATTTCATTCTTTTTTTATGGCACAGTAGTATTCCATTGAGTATATATACCACATTTTCCTTACCCAGTAGTCCATCGATGTATGCTTAGGTTGGTTCCATATTTTGGCTATTGTAAATAGAGCTGCAATGAACCTGGAAGTGCAGATATTCCTTGGACATGATGATTTCCATTCCTTTGGATATATACCAAGTAGAGGAATTGCTGGATCATATGGTAGTTCTATCTGTAGTTGTTTGAGAAACCTGCATACTGTTTTCCATAATGGCTGTGCTAATTTATGGTCCCATCAACAATGTAGAAGAGTTCCCCTTTCCCTGTATCCTCACCAGTATTTGTTATTCTTGGTATTTTTAATAATAGTCACTCTAACCAGGGTGAGATGGTATCTCAGTGTGGTTTTGATTTGCATTTCTCTGATGACTACTGATGCTGAGCATTTGATAATAGCCAGTCTAACTGGGGTGAGATGATATCTCAGTGTAGTTTTGATTTGCATTTCCCTGATGCTGAGTGATGCTGAGTATTTTTTCATGTGTCTGTTGGACATATGTATATCTTCCTTTGAGAAATGCCTATTCAGCTCCTTTTGCCAATCTTTTAATTGGGATACTCATTTTCTTACTGTTGAGTTGTTTGAGTTCTTTGTATATTAATCTCTTCTCAGATGCACAGTTTGCAAATATTTTCTGTCATTCTGTAAGTTGTCTTTTTGCTCCATTGTTTCTTTTGCCATGCAGAAGGT